AAAACTTTTTTGTTTTTTTAAATTATCTTAGCGAGTTGAAGACTTGAGAGCAATTTCTGATATATTCAATATTTCAAAGGGGCATAACTCATTAAAAATATTTTATCAGCAATTATTTTCGAAATTGTCCATGACATTGCTGATATTAACCTTTGATATGAATTTGATAAAAATCTGGCAAAAATTGTACATGTGAGAGGGCTTACAATGCAGATTTCCATATAATTAATATTTCTATGGACATAACTCTTTTTAAAATAATTGATCAGCACTGATTTTTGAACTCCTTCGAGACATCGCTGATATAAACTACAATTATTGTTTCCAAGGGGCATTATCTTTTAATAAAATGCTCCGCAGGGCGCAGCTTGATACGACCGCAGAGGTCGAACCCTGAACAGTTGGGGCAAGTATGGACACAACATTCAAGCTTGATACAGCTTTGCATTTGGATTGTGATTAAATATTTGACACAGCATAGGTTTCTAACACAGAATGAATGTGGTCTAAGAACTTAAAAATTTTAAATTGGACATTCACCTATTATGGTCCAATATCCAAAATCTAAATACATGGTTAGATTCAGCATATCAAAGAACCCCAAGAATTCAATTTTTGATGAAATCAAACAAAGTTTAATTTTGGACCCTTTTGACCTCAATGTGGACAAAGTTGATAACGGGGCCCAAAAATCAAAAATCTAAATACATGGTTAGATTCAGCATATAAAAGAACCCCATATATTCAATTTTTGTTGAAATCAAACAAAGTTTAATTTTGGACCCAGATTTGGACCAACTTGAAAACTGGGCCCATAATCAAAAATCTAAATACATGTTTAGATTCAGCATATCAAAGAACCCTAAGAATTCAATTTTTGTTAAAATCAAACTAAGTTTAATTTTGGACCCTTTGGACCTTAATGTAGACCAATTTGAAAACGGAACCAAAAATTAAGAATCTAAATACACGGTTAGATTCGGCATATCAAAGAACCCCAATAATTCAATTTTTGATGAAATCAAACAAAGTTTAATTTTGGACCCTTTGGACCTCAATGTGGACCAATTTAAAAACGGGGCCCAAAATCCAAAAACTAAATACACGGTTAGATTCAGCATATTAAAGAACCCCAAGAATTCAAGAATAAAACCCCATTGAAATTGGTCAAGAAATAAGCAATTTATACGAAGTATCTTCTTTTGCACAATACTGTGCAATTAAATATTTCTTGCTATTGCGCAATACTGTACAATTGACAATTTCTTGCTATTGCGCAATATTGTGCTAATGGATATTTCTTGCTATTGCGCAATACTGTGCAATTGAAGATTTCTTGCTATTGCGCAAAACTGTGCAATTGAAGATTTCTTGCTATAGTGCAATACTGTGCAATTGAAAATTTCTTGCTATTGCACAATACTTATTATATAATAATTTACACATCCTGTTTGGTGTGTATCTCCTACCATATCATTATTATTTGCTTTTAAATATAAATCAGAAATAACCAACTTAAAATGGAAAATTTTAAAAGAAAAAAAAGGAAAAAACTCCCCCCCCCCCCCCAAATTTTTTGAACCCCCTTATGATTCATCACCCCCAAACTCAATTCCAGCCTTCCCTTTGTGGTATGGTACCTTGCAGTACAATTTCAGAGAGATCCATACACTTGGACACAAGTTATTGTCTGGAAACTAGAAAAATGTCTTTTTGGCCCTTTTTTGGCCCCAATTCCTAAACATTTCGGCAATTACCCCCAAACGCAATTCCAGCTTTCCCTTTGTGATATGGAACCTTGTAGTACAATTTCAGAAAGATCCATACACTTACACACAAGTTATTGTCATGAAACTAGAAAAATGCTTGTTTTTTGCCCCTTTTTTGGCCCCTAATTCCTAAAATTTTGAGGCAATTACCCCCAAAATCAATCCCAGCATTCCTTTTGTGATATGGAACCTTGTGGTACAATGTCAGAGAGATCCATACACTAACACACAAGTTATGTCTGGAAGTTACAAAAATGCTTATTTTTGGCCCCTTTTTCCTTTACTGTTGGCACCATAACCCCCAAAATCAATCCCAACCTTCCTTTTGTGGTATTGAACCTTGTGGTAAAATTTCATAGAGATCCATTCACTTAAACTAAAGTTAGAGTGCGAAAACCAATGTGTCTTCGGACGACGACGACGCCAACGTCATACCAATATACGACCACAAAAATTTTTTGGCAGCCGTATAAAAATAGTTCAATGGCACTGATTTTCGAAGTTTTAAAATTTGACAAAGGACTCAAAGTTAGTTCTGACTGACCGAGTAATAAAAAACAGACAACCTGAATCCTACATACTCCAAAATTCTGATTATAAAAATATACACTTTTTCATAACAATAGTAAGAAGTATACCACTGTAATTTAGCACATCAAGAGGGAGAAAATACACTGTTTTTGGTAAACGTACAAAGGGAGGCAACTATGAATTTAATGAGCTATTATATAAGCTAGGTCTTTGAAAAGGCCAATATAGAGTTTCAAATTTTCTGTCCAAATCACTAATGCCAACACTAAGAAATATTTGTAATCCTTGCCTGCAAATTTTCATTGATTTCATGTTCAAAAGAAACCATGAAATTTTGATACACAAGTACCTAACATTATTCATATTTTGAACTGATTTATGTAAAAAGTCTGAAACTGTGAATTCATCTCCCAAATTACCTTCTGAAATGATCAAGTAACTATCAGAAAAAATTTTTGCTGTAAAAAGTAAATCTCAATTGTTTTTTGACAACATCCAGTATTTGAATAATATTAAGCATAGTTAATACAGCAAAAAGAGATGAAATAAGTGCTAACCACCTATTTGTCTGACATGAAGCAAAAATTACAGACTACATAAATCCAATGTTCTATTACTATGACTGTAATTGTATACTGAATAGCAGAATATTGCAGCATTATTTTGAAAGGCCAATATGTGATGCATATTATACTGCTTACAGTATTAACAACATTAAACTTAACTGTATTCCACAAGTTAGGAACAAATCATTTTTACTTCTGCAGCAACACATCTCTTTCTTTTGCCTTATTACTTTATGCAAGAAAACTTTCAATTGTATTCTTTAAATATCATTTCCAATTTTCTAGATGAATGTTTTGGACAAAATAAATCTTGATCAATTAAAAATAAAGGGACATAACTGAAGAATGGTAAAAGTGATGCTACCCAAATTTGAACTTGATCTGATTTTGTGGTAATAAGCATTGTGTGTAAGTCTCATAACATTTGGTTGAGGCTAACTTAAGTAGAGAACAGAAACTAAAAATTCAGCAATTTTTCTATTTGTAAACACGCATAACTCTAGAACGGTTGCGTATAAGTTTTATAACATTTGGTTGAGACAAACTAAAGTTAGAGAACGGAAACTAAAAATTCAGCAATTTTTATGTTTATAAAGGGACATAACTCTAGAATGGTAACAGTGTTCTCACCAAATTTTGTACTTAATCTGTATTATGTAGTAATAAGCATTGTGAATAAGTTTCATAACATTTGGTTGAGGCAAACTAAAGTTCGAAAACGGAAACAAAAAATTTGTACTTGATCTTAGTTTTGTGGTAATGAATATTGTGTATAGGTTTCATAATGTTTGGTTGGGGCAAACTTAAGTTACAGAATGGAAACTAAAAATTTTGCAATCTTTCGATTTATAAAGGGGCATAACTCAATAATGGTTAAAGTGACACTACCCAAATTCAACTTGATCTGTGTTTTATCAGTGGAAGTAAAAATTAAACATTGCATTGTATAAAGCATTGATTGTAGTTGATTCAACTATAATCATGGACAAAGGAAGATAACTCCAATTTTAAAAATAAATTGATATTTAGAAGAAAATAAAAATTTTGCAATTTTTCCATTTATAAAGGGGCATAACTCTAGAACAGTAAAAGTGACGCCACAAAAATTCAAACTTGATCTGTGTTTTAGTAAAAATTTTGCATTTTTTCCATTTATAAAGGGCATAACTCGAGAATGGTTAAAGTGACCCCACCAAAATTCAAACTTGATCTTTATTTTGTGGTAATAAGCATTGTGTATATGTTTCATAAAATTTGGTTGAGGCAAACTTAAGTTAGAGAACAGAAACTAAAAATTTTGCAATTTTTCCATTTACATAGGGCATAACTTTAGAACAGTTAAAGTGAAGACACCAAAATTCAAACTTGATCTGTGTTTTGTGGTTATAAGCATTGTGTATAAGTTTCATAACATTTGGTTGAGGCAAACTTAAGTAAGAGAACGGAAACTAAAACTTTTGTAATTTTTCCATTTATATAAAGGGGCATAACTCTAGAACGGTTAGAGTGACGCTATCAAAATTCAAACCTGATCTGTATTTGGTGGTAATAAGCATTGTGTATAAGTTTCATATAATTTGTTTGAGGCAAACTTAAGTTAGAGAACGGAAACTAAAAATTTTGAATTTTTTCCATTTATAAAGGGGCATAACTCTAGAACTGTTAAAGTGATCGCCACCAAAATTCAAACTTGATCTGTGTTTTGTGGTAATTAGCATTGTGTATAAGTTTCATAACATTTGGTTGAGGCAAACTTAAGTTAGAGAACGGAAACCAATTTTGGGACGTACGTACGGACGGACAAGGTAAAAACTTAATGCCCCCTCCGCTACGGCGGGGGCATAAAAATAAATGTATATGTTAGAAAGTCACCGAAAATGATTGTGTGCATTTGTCTCTTTCTTTGCAATGATTACAGATAAAGCTTAATCATTCAATATGTACTCACTGTAGTAACGTCATCTCAGACTCGTCTGTTTATTCTGAAGCTACTGCGGTACAAATAATCATGTGCACATTTGTTTTTCTAGTTTATAAATAAGCCTATGGGAGGTACTTATGTATGAATGAAAGTTTGGTTGCCTAAACACAATATACCCTAGCTATCACTCATGTTGTATAATAAATCACGTACCTTATTAATGAGTCGGTGTGTAAATAGCCATGGTCTACTTTCTCTTTGTTTATGAAAGTTCAGAGTTACAAGAGCATCCACTCCTACTGATGCATAATTGTTCATTATCATCTGGAAGAGAAATAAAATCCTTGAAAAGAAGGAGGTGGGCACTATTTGGCATAAACATTGAAGTATTACAAAATCAGGTGATTTATGCTTAAATATAATTGATGAGAATGTAAAGTTTAAACTGTACCATACTATCTTTTACCATATCAAGTACATACATAGATATTTTATGTTCGAATGATTCTACAGAAATAGAATATTTCCTTATATATTTGTGAGTAAGGCATATTGAGCACATGCAAGTGCCACATAAATAATGACATGAAAGGTGTTTTTGATTTTAACTAGACATCATTGAGATGGGAGCCATCTCTGTGGGCCCCTCTGTAAATAATGTGTGGTAAAAATTGTGTACAGGTAAGCTGATATGAAGCACTTTTTTAAGTTATTACAAAGTCTCGTTATGTGCTGAGAGTGATTTTATTCTATGTTTTTTAGTTAAAGTGTTATATTTGGCAATTTAATTAACCTGATAAATATCCTGAACTTACTTTCATAGTATAATAGTGATATGACTGCATGGTGTGAATTCATTGTTGACCACTAGGTGTCTTCTGGATATGTGGGTTGATGTATAAACTTTGAAATCATAACGGTTATCAAGGTATAGAGCAGACATGATCTGTACCATAGGACATGGGGTTGTCAACTGAAACCAAAGTTTTTTACCTTGACCTTTGACCTAGGAAGTTATACATACATTATGACACACCCTCTGGTGTTGGTTAACATACATGTCAAGTATAAACTTTGAAATCATAATGGTTCTCAAGATTTAGAGCGGACAGGATCTTTACCATAGGACATGGGGTTGTCATCTGAAAACGAGGTTTTTGACCTTAACTTTGACCTAGGAAGCAAGGCTTCCAAAACGGTCATATATTCCGGACAATTGTATAATGTCCAGCAAAAGTCCGGCTGGGCAAAGCATGAAACGGTCATCTACTTTTTAGTTGTCAAGGCTTTCTTAAGAGACGGTCATTTTAACATAATTCGCGATCTTTTTGACCCAACCTTTTGCCTTTAACAGCCACACATTTCCAGTCATAAAAGTGACATGATGATTAATTACTATCAAAACAACCCCTACTTCAATACTTTCTAATTTTAATCAAGGCTAATTAGTTGTTGGACAGCTGAAATCTACCTGTTCAGGTGACAGGTAAACTATTTCCAGTACCGGACATCGTATAAATTGATCGGTCTATTCAAAGTTAATTTCTTACATTTCAGCGGTTTCTATCTAATTGATTTAGTCCAAAAGATTGAAATTATAAGAAATACGTTTATAAACATGATTTGATGAAAAATTTAAAAAGGTTTTAAATGAAAAATGGTAAGAACTATGTTGTATGAACTTTAACCCATTTCTCTGACGTCAGTCTATTGTTCTGACTGTAGATTATTTTTCAAGAATCCACTGACCATAGTATTAACTTAAGAGAACTTATATTATAACTTTCACCTTTTAACTTACGATCTTTTATCCTCTCAAAAACGAGTGGCATGTGTAGGATTCGAACCCGCGCGTATTTTCTTCGTAATCAATACAGTCTTCAGTCTATGCATGATACCACTAGACCACGATGGCTGACATAAATCATTATATAAATAGTACTCTTAAAGCGCTTACTTGTCAAAACATGTCATTTAACTGTATTTCTGTCTCATTGTAATCTAATGAAATATATATATCTTGGTTTGTTCATGTTTATTGAATTTGTTTTATTTTGGGTGTTATTTTTTTTTAAGAAATGGGTTAAAACTACTTCTTTGACAATAAAAACAGAAACAAAATCATCGCCATTATATGAAAATGAAATATATGATACTTCTACATGTTCTAGGATTAAAACAATATTTTGGTCCAGAAAAAAAAATTACAATGAAAAAAATTCATTCCGGGTACAAGGTTCGAACTTTGCACTGTTAATATCACCGTTATGACATTCGTTATAAACGACTAGACGATCACGGCTATGAACAGCTTGATGGTAAGTTTATGAAATCAACATAATTATTCATTGTACATCCGTAGCAAGAGCAATTCTGATTCAGAATGCGTACCACAGATAAAACTATTTTACTGACCGGTGAACGATATATGCCAAATGTAATAACGCTAAAATAATCTTAACTTAAATGAAACGGAAACAGTTTAAACAAAATTTAAATATAATTGTTCAATTTAAATCGTAAGCACATAATTTTAATACTTTAAACAGCAATATGAATTATGAAATGGCAGATTTATGGCATATACGCTAATAATATTTAATTGACTAAGAACGACATAATGGTGTTACAATTTCATTATACCAAATCACGTTGCTAAATATTATATATATAAATTTTGAAGATTCTAAATTTTGGTAATTAAAATTTTTTAACTTTTCAAAACAAGATAAATAAATTCTGTATATCAATATATGTCTTTTTGAATAAATTAAATATACCAAAATCTATTTAATTTAAATAATTTGTAATGATTAAAGATTAAATGAAATATGTATATACAAAAATAAAATCTGGTATTAAAAAGGGGAGCTAACACCCCATTTAAGTTATATTAAACTTATGTTAACTTGTCAAATGTCTAAATATAGATGCGAACCGTGTGGATATATTCATTTCCAGCTATTATAGAATAAAAAAGACAAAATACCAAACTTTTTTTATGAAATATTGTTGATTCATTGTCAAAACGTAAAACAGACAGTCGTTTTACTAGAAATGGGTTAAGCTAGAGAATTGATAAGAAGTAGTGGATTCGGAAACGATAATCAACTTGCGACTAAAGTCGCTCGTTGATTATCGTTTACGAATCCACTACTTCTTATCAATTCTCTACTACAGAACACATGTGCGCATGTGCGCAGTAGGAAAATTTAATATTATGCATCCTTCATTTCTTAAAAAATGATAAAAATTATCATTGATACCTGTATCTAACGTTCATTTCAAGTATTTTGTTGAAGAAATAACGTGGAAAGAGCTTCTTCATTCAGTCGTGCTTTGTAAACGTACACGGATTTTACGTATCCGTTTCTGGTCCATGTTTTACCATTGTCAGGTCAACATCCGGTATTATGAAAACGTGATTTTTAAAACGAAAGTAAAGTTTTTGACAACGTAATTTTGCACAAATAAAGAGTCTAAGGCAGTTATGAGCACGCTGATGTGCACACTTCGAATTATGCACTGCCAATTTAACAGTTTACGTCCGAACATCAAATTCACATCAAAGTAAAGTTTAATATCGTTTTTTTTTAATCTAATGTCAATCATTGGGATGGCCATCTGATTACCATAATTGCCTTTTGTGACTTAGTCTTAAGGGATTAAAATCGGGATAAGATATAAAATGTCCGGCAGGCTCAAATATTTTTTGGAAGCCCTGCTAGGAAGTTGTACAAACATTATGACACACCCTCTGGTGTTGGTTAATATACATGTCAAGCATAAAGTATGAAATTATAACGGTTCTCTAGATATAGAGAGGACACAATTTGTTACAGACGGACGGACAGACTGATCACTATAGGGCAACCCACCACTAGGCGGGGCCCTAATAAACATTGAGGTAGATTATTTAGTTAGTTCTTGCATTTGCTCTATATTTGTGAGTCAATAAACTATCTGAAAATTGACAAATATCTATATGTTTTTCACAAAAACCTGTAGAAGGAAAATTTACATGATGTCACAACTTTTCATTCATGATGCCATTATTCGTTGACAACCTGTTTTCAATTTTGTAAATATCAACTTTAAAACAGACATAAATAAAAATTGAAAATTCAAATTTCAGAGAAAATTTCGGCTAAATTTATAATTGGCTCATATACGAATTTATACTTATTTTACCAAATATTTGTTTTTTCCTCAATCAACCTGCAGATATGACACATCCAAACTATGTCTTAATTATGATCATCAACAAAAAACTAAAACAGAATGTACCCAATGGGTATTGAAGATTCTGATAGTTCACTGATATTCTAACATACATAGAGAAAATTAAGCATGCCTTCCATCAGTCGGTCAGTAAGTTTCTCAATAAATCCCCATCAACTTATATCAACTAGATAGAAACAAGTGCAAGTGCAGGCATTACGGTTTATACTTTTATATTTTAACAGTTATGGTGCATCTTCTTTGAGATAACTTCCTCTACGTGTACCACTTCATTTTCTCTCTTTATGCCAGTTTATTTATCAAAACTGTTATGCAGACCACACATATAACTTGACCTTTTCATACATTATTTTTTTCCAAGTTATCTAACTTTCATTTTGATGTGCTACGAGGTTGTGTAAATGTTTGTATTGGTCCTATATTTTTCGGTGGCAATGTCAATAATTTAATGACAGTATTTGTTAGATTTCCATGTTGATATAGTGTTCCTAAAGACAATATTACTACTGTTAATTCACAAATTTTTGACCGCATTTATTATTTATTGTGTTTGTTGAACAATGGACAAAAATTCAAAATAAATTATTGCTATATAGAAAATCAGATCATCATTTTATATAAATTTGTACAATTAGGTTTTTAGTATCCTCTTGCTTTGAATATAATTAAAAATATAAAGTAGTTACAGATGGATCTCATTTCAATATTAATGAGGTTTTTTTTTTTCTGTCTAATATTAATGCATCTTCGCTAGCCAAGGGTTACGATCCAGTCCCTTCCTCTCCACCCTTGGCGGATTAAGATAAAATTTCGGATCTACGATGTAATGATTTCCATTGGTTGCAGTTGTAACTGGCTGCATCCAATCAAAAAGAGCCTTTAAGATGATACATGTAAATGTAGAAAATGTAAATAAACAATTTCCACTTGCAGATTGTGCAACAAGTCTTTACCCCCAAAATATGGGACAATATTTAGTTATAATCTTAAAGTTCTTAATCAACTTTATATTGAAGTTTCTGGGTATGTTTCTCGCGCAGATGGAATGCCAATGTTTATTTTCAGTTCCTGCTTCACAAAATTGTAAACACTAGACACAACCCTTTTTACAACTCCCTACTGAAGAGTGTTCAAGTGCTACCATTGGTCAAGAATGATGTAGTTGGAATGGGCATGACTTTTGTCTACCGGTAGATGGCGCAGCTTGTTACCACAAATGTTGGCTTAATCTGCCAAGGGTGAAGAGGAGGGGACTGGATCGAAATCCTTGGCTAGGGAAGATGATATTAATGCTAACATACAATCAAACAGTACTTACAGATTTATTTTTGATGAGAGCTGGATATTTTCTTTTACGTGTAATCTGTACATTCCACCTAAAATATTTACATATGTATTTCAAATTTATTGTGAAAATGATCGATGACTGAAGCATAAGAATAACTACAAATCAATTTTTAAAAATTGCATTATTTACACACTGGTTTATGCTATGTCACTTGAATTTAAAACAGTTTGCACCAAAATCTTTTCCAACTACTAGCAGTCAGGGGTACTACTTGTACACGTAATTTTTATTCACTTGAAGAAGTAATATTAATATACTTATATAAGTAAATTTGTAGGATACTTATACAAGTGAATTTTATTTACTTGTATAGGTAAAAAAAAAAAGGCTTAGTTATGTCCCTTAGACATTCAGAATTTTTACTTATATATATAAGTGAAAAAGTCATCCTATTTTATTTTCTTAAATTCTTAGGATTTCTTTGCTCTAATAGAATTTTAAATTGTCTGCCCTTTGCAGATGTCTTACAAATCATTTAAGTGTAATTTCATGGACAATGAAAATCCCATTTGTCTGTTATCTTCAGAACACTGTTCATTTACAAGCCCCCCAAGGAGCAATTTTTGAAGGCCTTGCGCAAATACTTAAGATCAGTTTCTTTGTTGAATTAATAAGATGAAACATTGAACTCTAATCAAAAATTATGAGCTAACCTGGGAAAAATCATTAAAGGCATGTTTTTACATCTCAAAACTTGGGAATTTTTGTGGGATTGTAAAAAAAATTCACTTATACAAGTGAATTTTTGAGAAAATTAAGGGGAGATCATTCAAACATTATAATTAACTTATATAAGTATATTTTTTTTACTTCTTCAAGTAAATAAAGATTACTTGTACAAGTAGTACCCCTGACTGACTAGTCCGAAGACGAATTTGGATATTTTTCTTATGTGTGTAAACTAAGTTTTGAAAATACTTGCTAGTCCAAATGAAAGTTAACTAGTCTGGGGCATCGGACAAGTGGCTAATGGTGCAGACTATTTAAATGTTTACAAATAAATCTAGGAATATCATCAAAGAATAACAGAATCTCTCTGTGTGAGTGTGATATGCTACAGAAAGAAAACATGTATTAGTTCGTATGACTGAGAAATCAGAAAAGTTTGGCTGGTTTTAGCATGTATCCCATCCTACTTTTGCAGTACATGTATTACATATTATTAACATATTGGTTTTAAAAAAAAACAAATATGTAGGAGTTTCATCCTACCTTTTATGCAAAATTGAAGATTATATTCACTTTGATACTGTAAATTAAGAAATTAATGCATGCAATTATTATTGCGATTTCTGAAGAATGGACAAAAATGTGAGATTAATTATTGCAATTCGAGTAAAAGCTTCATACAAATTTATGTGTCAGATTTCATAATGCAAGTTCTTATTATTGCGATATTCACCCAGTCGCATTATTGTGACAGAGTATATTTTTACATATTTCATTTATTAGTATTTTACATTTTATTACATACCAGATATTATACTTTATTCATTCACTCTGATCATTTGATCTTTTGATTTATAGTTTATTATCTCTTTATACTATAAATTGTATGAAAGTTCTAGTCAGTCATACTTCATTGAGCAAAGTTGTAATTGTATCTACCCGTCCAACTCATTAGTAAATTAATTGTCACACCTTGTTTATCTTTATGGTCAGTTCTTATTGGTCATTCTGGACACACCTCAGATTTTGGAAAAGAAGTAATGGTGGTTAATTCTTGAAAATTGGAGACATACATATTTAATATTTACTTCTTATTTAAACCATATATAGTGATGAAACTTATATAGAGACATTCTATTTAGTGCTCGTTAGTACTCACTGAAGTTTCCATACTTTGGAATCACTGTAGTTATTGGAAATTACATTCTTTATATCTGGTAAGTAGATTTTATGTTCTTTGTGGTGTATGAAAGGCGTATGCAATGCATGCTATACAATTCTGCCCGTTTATAGGTAAGTATACCATAGACCTTAGATATGATAGGAGTAAGATAGTTTATGTATTAATCTGAGAATATATGATTTGAATCTGTAGTTTGGATGTAGAAAGGGAGATTTACGAATGATTTTGAAAGTGACCTTGACCTTTCAGTTATGGATCTATGACGTCACATTGACAATTGCGTTAATATTGCCATATATGGTAATTTTGTGTAATAGCTTGATTTTATTATATCAGTCTTTAATATGTTGTATTTTGTATAAGGGATCATTATTTTCCTGGATCCTAGTATTTACTATTGTGTATTATTTTCAGGACACATAGATTATGATGTTCCTGTAACATACTGGTTGTACTGTAGATGTTAGATATATAACCTGGTTCCACAGATTGGTAAGGGTCATATTATATTGTACCTATATGTCAGTTAACTTGAGTTCGATAATAGATATTAAACATTACAGTAGTGCATACGAACTTAATAGCTAGAATACTATAGTGAACAGTTAATAACCTTCGTATGGTAAAGGTTTTATGAATGACACTCGTTTATGAAGTACGATACATTCGACTTGTTTATAATACGCTTGGTTGATTATAATGATATGCTATTTGATACGACTTATCAGATACATGTATTTGTATTTAGAAATATAATTGCAAGTTTGTTGCATATTATGAATGTCACTGCATTCTTGATACTCAGTATAGTTTATTGTATATGGAATAGAATATTTCATACGATCTTGTAACATTGTTAATTACACCACTATACTATTTGTATGATTCTAGTATAAGACTTTAATAAGACTGTGATATTGATAAATGTGATAATTATATGCTATTGTTATTGCAGGGTTATTTTCCCTATGTTTACTTGTATAATAAAGTGATGTCAAAGAACCCTAGACTTGTCGTTTATGGAACCCCCGTAAAACAAGACTATTATAATGGCGCCCAACGTGGTTTTTTCTGGTAGATCAGACGTTTTTGGTGAATAATGAAGAGAATGAAGAATTATTCGTATTTTGGCAATACACGATACCCGTAGATGTCGCTACACCTCAGTGATTACCGATTGACAATAGATGTTACTTTTAAACTGAGTTGTATTTAATGTACCGGTGTGTGTTTTGACTTTATAATTAAATATCATTTAGTAAAACTTTTGATACATACTAATTAGTTGATTGACATTGAATATATTCTTTATTTGTATTTGAACTGTGTATATATAAACATTGATTGTGTCACTTGAATTTTTTTTAAAAATAACTTTCTTTGTTCTTTTTCCGTAAATTATGAAAAGTTATCTCATACATATTTAGCTGTATTTGGAATTAAATTTTTGTTGTAAAATTTTGTTGAAATAACTGTAAATTTTCATTCAGAATTTGATTATGTAATTAGCTTTCGAACATATTTACAGTTAATTAACTTACATTAAAATTTTAAAAAAAGTGTGACACATAGGTAGAAAAGTAAACAGTTGCTACTGTTTGTAATTGATATATATTATATTTGACTTTGTAAGAAAATACATTGTGTTGATATTTGTACATTGAAATAATTTGCATATTATTGTGTACATAATAAATAGATTCATAACTGCCCAATCCCCACTCCTGTAAGTTAGGATTGTTGCAAAGACCAGAGACACGACAAATACTCTTTTACTCGTAAAGTTCCACAGAACTTTGCTGTCGCAGATATTTACCTATAAAATTTGAAGGTAAGTAAAAAATATAAGTACAGAAGTAATTGCCTGGAGTAACTTGTACATTTGAAGTAGTAGGTATAAAGCACTAAGGAACTAGAAGTTTACATATTTATAGTTGAGTAAGTATACGTGTTGTTTGATTGATAGGTTCTGGCTATTTGGGGTACTTGATAGGTGTCTACATTGTGTAGTATAGGTAGATCTGTTGCTTCGGTTCTTGTTGTTGACTGACTGATTCTTTAATACATTTTAAGTTTAAGGACTTTCAGTGATTTCATTGATGATACAGTGATATTATTTACAGCAGCAGCAGCAGTACCAGTTACTACTTTACATTATATTGTATAATATATATTTGCTTATATAGTTATATATATATTTTTTGATTATATGTAGCAGTTAGTCGTACTCAGTTAGGAATAAATTACACACATTTTGGTGAGTATTAGGTGTGTGTGATTTTCAGAGGCATAGCTGGGTAGGAACTTTAAGAAAGGTACGTGCGTGTATATTGATACTACTTATATTTGTTTTTCTTATACATATTCATTGGTTTTCAGTTGAGTTGTGAGGTATTGTTAGCCACTGTGTACATTATACTTTTATATAGTATTTCTGAGATCCATTTTGTATTTTTTTTTTGTATACATATAGTAATCAGAGTTTTGATTTCAGTATATTGATTTACCATTGCAGAGTTGCATTTGTCATCTAATCTGTTTATTTTCAGAGGAGTTAGTCATTTCAGTCCATTACTATATTACTCTATATTTATTTAGGCACTGTTGTCGAGTTTGTTGATACTTAATCATAATTTTGATTTCAGACCTTTGTAGTAGTTAGAGTTACTAATCTTATTCTTTTGACAGGATATTCATTTAGATTTCCAGATTATCGTATATCATATTTGGATTTGCATTGATTCTATATTTATTGTTTTCTGTAGATTAGACAGTAGACTGCAGATATTAATCTTATTTTTTTTCTTCTCAGATTTCAGGTACTTATTTATTTTTTTTCCTATTTAATTTCAGAATCTTTATTTCTGTTATAGGTACTTAAAACGTTTTGTTTATTTTATTTATTCCAGATGATTTCTTTGTATTTTAGGATAAATTAACATTATTCATATATTTGTTTTTCTTTCAGATACTTTGTTCCTATTGTAGGTACTTAACATCCTTATTTTGTTTTAGCACTAATTTTTGGTATATATTTGTATTCATTTCAGACATATTTTTTTCTTCTTTTAGGAACTTAATATTTTTGTTTTTTGTTTCAGAAGATTTTGTTTATTTCAGATTTCATCTCAGCATTTTATTTCTATAGTTTAGGTATTATCATTTTGTACAGCCAT